TGTAAGTATAATATAGATCTTGGATTTAATTTGACATTTATAGTGAAGGAGAAAAATTGTATTTCCTGTTTTCATATCTAGGAAACTCCTGATCAACATTCTTAAACTTGGTGTTAATTAAGCTTTGAAGAACTTTTTACCATTTTGGTTTACCCTTCTTGATCATAGCGTTTAAAATCTCTGTTAGCTTTCACAGGGAGTTCCTGGTTTTAACTTGAAATGGCTTAAAGTAGAAATTTGGTTAGCTTTTTGTATGTTTGGATTTTGTATGTGTTCTGTTTTTAACTTTCAACGTGAGTTTTAAGATCATCAATCAAAGGCTTTTCTTTCAAGTCAGTTGCACTGATCCCAATTGCAGGACTTAGGGAGTCAGCATTTCCCTCATGCTATTAAAAAAAATTTAAACACCGAAGTGGAGTATTTCAGGAATTTGAGCTCCCCTGATCGTTTCATCACATATCTGCATTTTGAAATGAACAAATAAATTAGGTATAAGAAACTCAGGAAATGTTCTCCCACCGTCACCCCTTCTCTCCCCTTCACTCCCCTCCTTCACTCTCTTTTTGAACAAAGTTAAATAATCTATGATATTTATTACTGACTGCTGTATCGGCTTCCAGCAAGGCACAATGAGGCTGTTTGTAGCTTTACACATTTTAAATACATTCATTTATTCAGGCTATCTCTTTCCTTTATTTAAATGTTTTCCGGCACACATTCCCCCCCTTTTGAACTATTGAGAATGTGCTTCATCTCCCAACATTCTGTAACCCCAGTGGGCCCTGTAATCAGCCTGGGCTTTTGTCTTTCAGATGGCATTTATTTGTGGATGTGTATGTCTGTGTCTGCCTGTCAGTTGTTTTCATCTGCCAAATACAACTAATTTTTGTTTATAGGTTTCAATGAAGCAATGAAAAGAAAGTATTTGACATCTGAACTAATGACCATTGCAGGATCTTTGCTCCCTACCCTGTGTACTCCAAATTCAGGGTGAATTGGTTTAGCCTCTCATTATTAATAATTCCAGTTAACTCTATTGAATTTAGTTTTCAAAGTTTTGCTTCCAGGTAGTATTCTATGATGGGTAAATTATAAATTTAAATCTTTACCAGGCTTTTAACAGAATGGCTCAGTCTGTCTGAGCAGAACATAATCTACTTTCCCTACATTGGAGTAAGTTTCCTTGATGGGTCTTCTGACCAGATGAAAATTCAAACTGGGTGAAATGAATTCAAGGTAGACTGAGATGCATCTTAAGTTCATTTCTGAATTTCTTTTGCAAGTGAATCCAGTGATAGGTGTGCTGATTTCATATTTTTGGTTCATGCTCTGAGGCTTGGTATCTCCTTGTGGGCAGAGCTCTGTAGATATTGTTGTTTTTCTACCACACTGTGTAATCTGCTGTTTAATATATGCATAATTGAAAGGTCTGTGCAACACTTCCTCCCTGCCCCCTCTGCTCTTATTTCTTCCCACATGAAGTGTCGTATATTTTGTTAGGAAGAAAAGCCCTTTTGGAAATTGCCTATTTCACAAATTGTGTGGTGACACAAAGGGGTTGAATACTGTATTCTTGTCTCATTTATTTTGAAAACTTTGCTACTGAACTCATCTTAATCAATGAGCTCAGTGTTGTCTCCAGTAAGTTATGTGTTGGATATATTGATTGGGAGGGATTTTAGAAAACCCGTCTGGGGTTTATAATGTCAGCAGTGTTTTGATTATGAAAAGAGTTAGAACCTGGGGACATGGAACCAGGTGGCAAATGTCCTAAAGCCGGTGGTGACATGGTGGACTGGTTCCCTCCTGGGATCTAGTTCATGCCCTGCTCTTTAACTGTGGTGACTGGCTACTATAGATTCACTTTTTTGCTCATTAAAATGTTAAAAAATCAAACTGTACATAAAAAGATTTGTGAAAATATAAACTTGGGAATTGATCTGGAGTACTGGCACACAATCCTCTCCACCCCCTGCCTTAGCAATGAAGTCATTTACATTTCATCAGCTGTGCTGCATCCCGAAGATCCGATTTATGTCACAGTAGTTGAGGTTGTACTGAGGCTGGTTGTCTGAAAGAGCTTGGGTAGGCAAGAGAAAGGAGGGATAGAACAGGAAAATTACCATCTACAAAGAAAGTCCCCTAGCCAAAACATAGGTTCTAGAGAGAAAAAAAGAGCTGGTATCTGGTTGGTGACTGTGTTCCTAATAAAGTTAATAATGAAAGATTGTAGGATACTCTGCCATAAATATAATGCACAAGATATATTTAAATCAGGGATTTAAAGCCCTCCTCTCTTAAGAGAGTGGTATTTTTCATATTCAAGCAATGGTATTTTTCTTTAGAAAAAGAGGATAAGGTGGTTGAATGTTTTTATATAAGGAAAACATTAGTATTATGAAAATTGATTTCAGCAGTCTTTATTTACAAAAAATGTTGCTTGTTTTTCCCTCCCTCTTCCTCCTCCCCTTCTGCAACTCAGAAGTAGATATTTCAGTTCTGATTGAGATAATATATGAATATGCCTGACACGGAGTAGATGCTCATTTTTGTTTTCTCCTCTGACAATCACACCAACATCTTGTTTGACTTAAACTGGAATATCAAGCTCTTATAATATCATAAACATGAAGAAACATATTGTAATATACACATGTGCCTAATTTGCCTGTGTTCCCCCTCCCCTGTGCTTAATTAGACTTATCACTGTTTTCTTGGGTAAAAAGGAAAGCTCTTGGGAGGTGGGTTATACTCAGCCTAAATTGAGTATTTTGTTATTTGTTCTAATATTATCTGACAGACAAGTTTAAGGTTGGTTATTACTCTTGACATTAGAAACTGGTAAGTAGTTTCTATATTGTAGTGAGTAATAACTTGGGCATATTAGATTCCTTTGACTCTGCTGTAGAGCACAATGCTTTCTCTTAGCCATGGGGGTCCTTTCTTTCAAAAATCTTTGAGGCCTTTTGCCAGTGAAGCTCCAGCATAGAGTAGAGAAGCGCTTTCTGCACCTGTAACTTTTGAGGGGTAAAGGATAACTGTCTTTGTAGCTGATGTTGGCAATGTCTGAGCACTTGGTGCTGCGTTTTAAAGAATGCTTCATATATATACTGAAGTTAAGAGATGCTTTGTGGTATTATTTGAAACTTGAGGTGAAAGGAAATATGTAAGGAATTTTTGTGTGTGTGAGTAAATTACTGGGGTTTTGCATATGGGTTAAAGTGTATTTTATAACCAAAGCTGCAGACATTAAAATGGATGTTTTATGTGATCTTTTTTCCAGTGTTTGCCTGATAATAACAATCTGCACTGATAAATTTGTTCTTATTTTTCTGACTCTTGATTAGCTATTACAATTTATTTAACCACAAATTAATTTTAAAACAATGTATATGGACTTTGAATGCCACACTGAAATTAACTAGTGTATCTATAGTGCATTTTAGAATATGCTGAGGTAATGTTTTCTTATCCACTCTTTTTCATTTTTTTGGTTTCCTATTCATTGACTATTTAATGACATGCCATAACAGTGCTGTGATATACATAGTACCAGACCAAGATGATATTAAAAAATAGGATATGCTCAGTTGAATTATGTAGGCAGAACATGCAGTGGCAGAGCAAGTCAATGTGCTTTCTGCTTCATTGAGTGAGTTATTAGATTGATGTGGTTTATTTCTTGAATGATAGAACTGGTTTTAAAAATAAATGAAGCGAGAAGCATCAATTCGGTTAGCATTGATAATTCATTATTATTGGTTAGAAAAGTGCTACATTTGTAAACTGATCTTTAATTTATCACTTGGATTAGGATTTGCAGTGGGCAGGATTGTTTTAATTTGAACCAGCTTCTCAATGACTAAAAAATGTATTCTTCATTTTGTCTTAAAGTTGAGATCTTAAATAGTTAGCAAGCAAATCAAATGCATGGAAAGAATACTTTTTAAAAATGTATACCATTATCTATGAATTTATAATAAGCACCGACTACAGGCTAACCAAGTCTGCAGTTAAATTAAATAAAGCTAGAGAAAATTCTACAAAGTAAGTAATAATAAATTTTGTGTATGTGTTTAGCTATGTGTATATATGCTGTATATGTGAAACGTGTCTGTTGGGAAAAGACATGCACCACTGTATACTGTGTCTCATGTACCAGTATTTATTCTTCTCTTAATGTGAGACAGTTGCCTTTTATGAATAAGTCTTTGAAATAGCACTCTACTTTTTGTACTTCTCACTACCCCAGAAAAGTGTGCTTGGTTTTGTGTGCCTACATATTTGTTTAAAGATATTTAAACTGGTAGTTTGCTTTGGATTTTAATAAATTACAAGCAGGTAAGTGTATCCACCAATGCTAACGATATTTAACTAAAATTAGTGCATTCTTAAAATTGTTACAGTTTAATTACAAAATGAATTTCTGCTAGAAATGGCAACTTCTTTATAAAGTGAGTAAAGTTTTAAGCTCCAAAAAGTTCAGTTGACAACATTCAGGACAATTTTCTTCAAATTGGCTTTATATTCTGCTTGTGATTTGGCCTATTGATGTTGGGAAGCGTTGGCTAATCCCGGCCCCCTCTGTTCCTAGGTAACAGGCAAAAACGATGCCAGCAACAGCGGCCCTGCCAGGCCAAACCCATGTGGCTTGGTGTTATTCACTCTGATCCATATGGTCAGGCTGGAGATGGTCCCTGGAGGGGTGTTAACACTCAGCAACCCAACCGCCTCCCTCCCTTCAGAGCTTTCCTGCGTGGCTCCTGCTGCTTGCCCATGTGTGATCCTTGATTAATTTTTCATTTTTAATGAAGTTTGATCATGTTTATTATTTCTCATGATTGACTGCCTGGTACTCCTCCCATGTAATTGATAAAGCCCATATTTCTTCATCTGTCTCCTCTTTCTTTAGGGTAAAGTTGCTAGATTGTATGGCTGTGGTTAATGTTAGATTTATTGATCCCATTAGATGTATAAATTATCTCTCTTTCTCTCCACAGGAAGTTCTACAGACTTTGACCAAGTTTTGTTTCCCCTTCCGTGTGGACAGGTAGTGTCAGATTTTCAAACTTTAGTAGAAAAAAAGTGTCAATAAACCTCCTATAGAAAATAAAAACCATACCATTCTTAACATTCTGTCTGTTTAACCATGATTTAAAACACCTATGTTCCAAGGAGAGTTGCAGTATTCTCCTTTTCTGGGGATTTTATTGACATTATCAAAAAGTTTAAAGCTTAGAGCTTTGCGTTGGTTAGTTTGTGAGCTGTATTTTGCATGACATTAAATTTCTGATTTTGGTTATCAGAGTCAAACCATGCTTAAGAATGGTTGGTATTTAATCCAGTACTATTTAATTTTTATTTAAATCTGAATATATTCTACTTAAACAAGTAATATTACCTGACTCCCTGGCCTTATAAATATTATGTAGACTTGTATTTTCTAGAGTTTAATTTAAAATTTAAATCCACACAGGCCTATCTTGTTTAAAGGTATTCAGCTTTTTCAAAGATAAATAGCATGTTGCTGAAGAATGTTTTGCATTTTGTTTAGGTGGCTAAGAATTGTGTCTCTGGGGAAACCAGTATTTTCTATAGATTTCTAGACTAAAAAATACCAAACCATCTAAACATTTTAGTATTTACATTATGATAAACTTTCTTGGAGAGGTACAACTATAAGGACTCTGAGATAATTACAATAATCTGAGAGTTTTTAAAATATAAGCCACTGGTTAATGGTAACAATTTTAGAAGAGCTTCTTTTTTTATTTTCTATAACTATAGTTTTTTACTTTCTATAACTAACATTAATAAAATGACGAAAACCAATCATCTTCATCTTATTTTTAAAAAAGCCTACTGTGTTTTTCATTATAGTTTAAGCATTTTTGTAATTTATTTTCCACTTCATTGTTGTCTGTTTTCAATGGTTTTTCAGTTTTTCTTTTAAAGGGGAATTGAACTATGAGACTATACATACATTCCATTTTAAGAATTCTACTTTTAGTGACAGGGAGGTTTAAAAAAATACCATTTTAAGTAATAAATGCTGTATCGTGTTCCTAGAAAGCTGTAAAATGTACCCATCTTCAGGAAGGCCTTATGTATTTTAATGTATCTAAACAAGGCAAAGCCTGAAAGATTTTAGTGACTTAGAATACATATATGTAGATATGCTACTTAAATCTTCTCTGTATTTGTGGTAACAGTGTCCTGGCTTATTTGGCATAAATCTAAAAATGGTGTGAGTTGAGAACTGGCAGCCAAAGGAGTTAAAAAAATTACTAAAAGGCAAAAAGAGTACTAAAAAGCAACTCTGGAATGTTGCCAGCCATTTATAATCACTGCTTTCCCTGGTTCTAACATGTTATTTTTAAGCCAATCAACCATTGTAGTATTTCCAGACTCAGGCTCTTTAGATCCTGGTACCAGGAATACTTTACTAGCAAGTTGATGCTCAACACAGAATAGCCTTACCTTTAAGAGGGTCAGTCTTTGTAATGAGAGTCCTCTCGTCTCTTCTTTATCCTATTCCATCTAAAAATAGCCAGGAAATAGGGTTTTGTTTAGAGGTGTTTAATGCAAAACTTCACATTTATATGTATGAATTAGCGATGCATGAAATCTCCTCCAGTCACTTATAAAATGTATTACAAATTATGGCAAGGGCATATTTATACAGATTAAGAAAGCTGAAATGTTTTTAAATGTGGTTAGGTGCTTAACAAAGAAAAATAAGGGAATACATTTTTACATGACTTCTTGTTAGAGTGGTGAGCTGTTTTGGATAGGTATTCCTTAATTTGTAAACTAATATTAGAACAAATGCACAATGAGATTAACATCCTCCCTCCCCCCACTCATCAAACACACCTCTACTTACCTGCTTGTCTGAGTGATTACATTCTGAAATAGAAGAAAAGCAGAGTCCTTAAGTGATAGTTCTAAAATCTTTTTTGTTTTTGGTCTACAATAATGTCTAATGCTTTTTTTCCTCTTAGAAAAATATTTTTCTTCCAAAATACTTCTCTCCAGATTACCTTCCCCTAATCACATTTCTTGTGTTTTTTTTCACAAAATGATTTGGAGACAGAAGTGTTCTTTTATGGATACATTTTAATCCTGACAATGTACAATAGCTCTCTCCTGCATTGTATTGTGTTACCCCTATGGGTGTTGATAACTTTTATAGATACCCAAAAAAGCCCTCTTTCTTTTGGGGACTGTATTTTTTCTTCTGTTTCCTCACCTCTAACCTCACATACTTTAATGCAGAAGAGATAATAATAATGAAGTTCATTTTTAATAAATCCAAAGGTTTAATGTCACGATTTTTTCTGTTTTTTTCAATTAGTTTGCAGTTAGCACTGTCAAATGGATTTGCCCTGATTCTGAGGCCCACAAAGCCCCCCAGGTGTGTTTATGATATTGTTTGACTTAGAAAATATGCCAGCATGGGAAATGAGTAATGCCTCCAGGTGATTGTGTTCAAAAGAGAAAGCTTCCTAACCTTTTCGGTATCTTTGCTTTTCTACCCAAAGGAACGGTAATACAACTTTCTGACATTTCTAGTCTATATCAAGAGTGGGATTTCCACAGTCATCATCATATCACTCGTTAACATTGACATCTTGCTGTCTCTAGTGTTGTTTTATGATTTTCTTTCTGAAACTAGGACTTAAGAAAGATAATAATGCTGGTAGCTCTTCAAAAGAAAGTGCTTTCTCGTGTATTATCTCATTTTATTCTCGTATCATAAGAGATAAGAACAAGTCCCGTTATCTTCATTTGAAAAAAGTCTAAGCTGCAGAGAAGTTGTGACTTTCCCAGCATCCTCTCAGGCTGTTAGCACAACCAAGATGTCTGTCTCCCCAACGAGTACACTTTTCAGTAAAACACCTTGTAGAAAGACCAGTCATCGATATAGATAGAAAGAGAGAGGAAGGAAATTTGTATTTCAGTTCATAATTGATTCTAGTCCCAACAACTGTAGGGGATAGATGGTGGTGCTATCTTTTTCAAAAACAAAAGAACAAATAAAGATTCAGAATATATAGCGTTATGTTGGGTTATGTGAAGGATATGGAAATGGTATCAGACTTGGAGCCCTGTCCTCCATGTGTTTCCCAGCCTAGTCAGTAAAGACACATTAAACATCATTTATCCCAAAGGATAGTGAGGTTAGGGAAGAAAGAAATCAGAGAAAACTTAGAGTGATGAGGCTTGTGTTGCTGCAGGTGTGGCAAGAAGTGGAAAAGTGGAAGGGAGAGGTAAGAGCAAACTAGAGGAAAAATCATGAGTGAGCCTAGAGATTGTTCCAGTCAGAGCAGATGGAGCCTGTTGGGGATGAGGGGGATGTGTACCATGATAATTTGGACTCTGGCTACAGGAGGCCTTGAAAACATGTAGGAGCAAGACCACAGGATTTTAAAGCTGAAATTCATCTGGTTTAAACATCCTATTTTACAGAAGGGAAACTGAGATCCATGTAGATGAAATGGCTTGTTTATGGTCACAACTATGAAATTACAGAGCTGGGAAAGGACCAGATACTCTTACTCCCTATCAGGAGTTATTTCTGTGCTATACTGTACTTGAAGCTCTTGGTGAAGGGGGGTGGTGGGATGACAGTGCTGAGTTTCATTGTGTCACTCCCAAAGACTTTTTATTATTATTGATGAAAGCAATGTCTTGTAGAAAAAAATAAGATTTGTATTATTTCATATTGTGGCACTGCTTGCACTTGATAGCTGATAACCGGCTTCAGTTAAGCAAAGCACTCAAGAGACTCGTTGGATGATGGAAATGCTGTTCCTTCCGATGTTTGTGCTTACCATCTTTCAGAACCCAGAAAGTTAGCTACCACTCAGTTGCCCTATAAATTACACTGCTACACACAAATGATATGAGCATTAAATGAAATGACATCTTTTCAGCGGCAGAGGCATAGTTTAATGGTTCAGGATGTAACCACAGATGTAAATGTGGTTTCAATACTAGTTACCATTCTATTAGAGTCCCTGGGTGATACAAATGGTTAACACACTCGACTACTAACAGAAAGATTGGAGGTTAGAGTCCACCCAGATGCACCTTGGAAGAAAGGCCTGGCAACATACTTCCAAAAACTCAGCCATTGAAAACCCTATAGAGTACAGTTCTGCTCTGATAAACACCTGCGGTCTCCCTGAGTTGAAGTCGACTCCTCGGCAACTGGAACCTTTTATTATATATCTGTTATGTGCCAGGTATTGTGTGCTATGTTCTTTTCCTGCATTTAAAGGTGAGAAATTTGCAAAGTTACCATTATCATCTTGCCACATATGAGGAAAAAGAGGCTCAGATAGGTTCAATAACTTGTCCAAGCTCCCAATATTAATAAGTGGTAAAGCTGATTTTGGAACCCATACCCTCCAAATCTCTTATACTCTTTCTGCTATATCATACTGCCTCCATTAGATTAATCACAGTGTAAATAAATTAACTAAACAAACTTAAAATTTATTTCAAAAGCAATGTATATTTATTGTAGAAAAGTAGAAAATTCAGATAAGCAAAAAGGAAATCCATGCAGAGACACTATGGTTAGCACGTTAGTGTATATCTTTTCAGACCTCTCCACTTGTTCCCATATATTTACCCTGTTCTGCTTTTCAAAACTGAATCCATTTGGCCCACTTTAGTCCTGTGGGTTAAACTATAGGTTAAGCTGTGCTCCATGATAATTTTTTTTACCTTTAGATAACGATGAAGCAGTTGGGCCGTAGTGGGCAGAGCATTGCGGGTGGCAGCCTGAAGACTTCGGTTTTAGTTTTGGCTCAGCCAGTGACTTAGTCTGCGCTCTGAGGGCCTTAGTTACTTCCCGGATAAAACTGAGGGGGTTGGATTAGGTCTCTGCTATTCCTTCTGGTTTTTATACTTTTTGATTCTCCAGTTTTGATTTCATGTTTACTTTGTCAGAGTCATGTAGACCAAGTGAGTGGAGAGGTCTTTGTTGTTCTTAAAATCATCCAGTGTGTTTCTCAAGCAGATAGGTGTTGCCCTGTA